TAAAAATACAGATATTTTACAAGTCAGCCTCAGGTCAGCAGCCCTGGTTACCTAAGAACAGTTAGTGGTCAGTCTCCAAACACGGGTCCCCACAGGCCGAGATTTCTGGGCTCACCAGGCAGGAGCAGGGCTGTGCCCAGGGGAGCTAACAGCGCTCAGAGGTGGGGAACTCAGATGTGCCAGAGCCAGCAGTCCTGGGGGCAGGGCACCCTCCAGCCCCCGGCCGTCCACTGCACCCCGACCCACTGCACCCTGACTCCGTGTGTTCCAGCGAGGTGGCTACTGGGCCAGGACACAGGCAAGAACCTCTCGCCACAGCAGGGAGGGGCTGGGCGAGAGGAAGGTTTAGCACCCTGATCACCAGCACCTCCAAACCATCCCACACTCACACATTCTCCCAGTGCAAATGCAGCTTGCAGCCCTCACTAATTCTCCCCGTCCCACCCTCTCCCTGTCCCATGGGGATGGGGTGGGGGGGGGGGGGCGCCTCAGGACAGCAGCTGCTGCTCAGGTGAGTGTGGGACAGCCCAGGCCACCCGAGGCCTCTCCAGGCTCTGGAAGCGCTGCATTTGCTCCGGGTGCGTAAGCAGTGGGGGAGCTTTGTCAGGAGGGGGGGACTGGAGATGAGGCAGGAAGGGGTCAAGCACCATTTCCTGGGGCACAGCCTGAGGGGCCCTGGCCCGGAGGCTCCGGGCATGGACCCAGGGTCAAAGCTGCAGGGTCAGCAGGGCGTCTCCTCCCGTCCCTCCTCCCTCGTCCTGGCTCCTGGCAGGCGGTGGGGACCTGCCTGGTCCCTTCCAGGGTCTCCCTTGGTGGTAATCCCAAGGCGCTACCTGCTTCCCCACCAGGCTCTGGTCCTCCCGCTCCCCCCCAGCAGGCTCCTGGGTTGCCAGGGGCTGGTCCCTCACCTGCCTGACCTGCTGTCGGCTCTCCCACCCGCACACCTGGAGCCTGCCTGCAGGGATCAGGGGACCCCAGAAGGACACACTCGTAAATTCGCTCGGCAGTCGGCAGCGGTTAGGACAGAGACGTCTCCGGAGAAACGTCACGGAGTTTCACTCAACTGAATCAAGGCTCCGCCCACTTCAACGGTTATAAATTTGATCCAACAATGGGCTTATTTTAAAATTGTAAAGATTTATATATTATTTTTATTACATATGATAAGCGATTCTTAGTTTAAAGTAAAAACTTTCACATTTAAAGTATTTTTAAATCTTGACATTTTAGAAAAGCCAACAAAGTTCATGCAGCGGAGACTTATCCCCGGATATTCACAAATCAAATGCTGTTTAGGATTAGAAACGCTACAGATCATTCACAATCGGCGGGGATTAGCCTCCGTGGAGAAGAGCAATGAATGGCGGGATCTAGTGGTGGGAGCATCACAGTTTACTCGCCGCGGGTTCCACGGTGCCCACGGCCCTGAACGGCCACGGGGGGAGGGGCGATCACCAGCTCAGGAAAACACACTCCCCCAAACCAACGGCAACTCCCAGACGCTCTGCCAAGAGGTTCTGGTCTTCAGCTCAGGAGAGAAGAGCAGCATTTCATGACGGCGTCCCTGGGGGAGGAAACCAGGTCAGAATCTGCCTCCAGCGCAGGGACCGCTCCTACCCGCTTCCTTCGCTGCTCTCACTAGGCTCCAACTTGGCTGTTCTCACATACAACCTGCTTCCAAGTTTACCAGGAGGCAAAGCTGTGCCTCCAGCGCTTTCCTGACCGTCCGACAGGCCTCAGCAGTGCGTTCCCCCGACAGCAAGTGCACTTTCTGGGCAAGTCCAGGGGCAGCTACCTCCGCCCCACAGGACAGACACATGCTACTGCTCAGACAGCACTCATGTGTCAGACTCACTTTTTCACCAACTTCCCTTTAAAGAGAACAATCTGTTTTGCTGGAGTCCCCACGGCCTATCTAGCGAATATCTGCAGTCGTGGAAGGATCCAGAAGCTCTCGTCCAAGTTCCTGGCAGCAAAGGCCCAGGCGCCTGACGGAGCAGGAGTCGGTCCCCAGCCTCCCCGCTGACACGTTCACAATGGCGCCCCCTCGACAAACTTCTCTCTATTCATCCCACTTAGAACATCGTTTCCTTGTGGGAGGAAAGTCAGCCTTTTAAGTCACAATTTAATGTAGAAATTACTAAAACGGATGTATTTTTGCGACGCTAACGGGAGGACCAGACAAGCTCACCTTGCATACGGGATGTACGACAGGCTGTACCTGCAAGAGAAAGGGCAGCTGGTGACCTCAGTGTCAGTGACGCCATATCCCCGCACCGGGCAGTACAGCGGCACCCAGGGCACGGTCCCCCCCCCCCCCCCCGTGTCACCCGGACCAGCAGCCACAGCACCCCCCCTCCCCAGCCCCCGAGCCGCACAAACTCGCTAAGCGACTCACGCCTGCTCGTCTGAGCTGTTGTAATAAGAAGTTACCCTTTAAAGTTATATTTTAAATAGAAACGATTGAGAATAAAGTACATTCTCCCTTAGAAATAAATCAATCGTTAAATACAGCTGATGAAATAAAGAGCAACATAACACAGAAAATGACGGCGGATTCAGTGTAAAAATTCTCCCCGTTTCACTGAGAGCAAAACCTCTTCACGGGCCCCTTTGCCACGCAGGGCCGTGCGTGTAACGTTCGCTGACGGTGCACTTCAGGGTGGAAAGGAAGAAACGGGGCCAAAGAAAGATGACCCCAGGCCGGGTAACAGCAAACTGGAGACTGAACACAGCACACAGGGAGGGGCGTGCTGACCACGGAGGGAAAAAACAGAACTCCGCTAAAGACAGCGCGTGGAGCCCTCCTGGTGGGACGCGGAGTGTGGGAGGAGAGCACTTCAGCCCTCACTCCAGGGCCTTTGGCCGCTGCTGGACGGGATGCGGCCCAGGCCATGAGGGCTCAGGGGGCCACGGAGGATGGGGAGGAAGGGCGTGCCTGGTGCACAGAGGAGCCGGACCACAGCTGCTCCCACTGCGGTCCCCACGAGTCGGCATCAGCAGGAGCCAGCAGCACAGCGTCTGCCCACCAAGAGGCAGACCCACACCCTCGGGCTCAGGAATGACACGGCCTCGCTTCGTGGGTTCCTGCGGCGTCACCTGCATGTCTTATCACTTCTCCTTCACATCTCAGAAGACAAGTGCAGGCACCCTGGTGTGATTATGCAGGACCCCCCCACACACACACACACACACACACACACACACACACACACACGCCTCCCTGCCCGCCTGCAGTCACCACGGAGCCCGGTGAAGTCCCAGGGGACACCCTGCAGACTCAGTCAGCTGACCGCTCCGGAGGCCTGGCCCCGCCGAGGCACACGCTTCCACCCCGGTGAGAGCCCACCGCCGCCCCGGGAGGCCAGGCTCAGAGCAGGGGCTCTCCCGGCTCAGGGCGAGGACTTCCGATCGGGTGAGACTTACCAGGTCATGGACAGGAACTGCAATATGCAGAAGAGCACGGCCAGCCCCTTCTTATGCCACTAGCACAGGGAAAACAGAAAGAGCGAGTGAAGGATCTTTCAAGATACTCTACGCCAGGGGTTCTCAACCTGTGGGTCGCGACCTCTTTGGCGGTCGAACGACCCTTTCACAGGGGTCGCCTAAGACCATCCTGCATATCAGATATTTACATGACCATTCATCACAGTAGCAACATTACAGTCATGAAGTAGCAACGAAAATAATTTTATGGTTGGGTCACAACATGAGGAACTGTATTAAAGGGCCAGAAGGTTGAGAACCACTGCTTTACGCCCACCTTTAACTCCCTTCAGAATGTAAGATGACAGCTCCGTTCTATCAGATTTCAGTATGACAAGGTTACGATGCAGTAGATGTGAAACTTAACTACCTGTATCCACCGATTTCCATACTCTACACGCCTGGCATTGAGCCAACGCGCCGCACAGCACACACAGCTGCACGCACGCCTCTGAGTGGTTAGGGCCTGGAGGCACGTGAACGTTTCCCCCAGGTCAGCAGAGCTGCATCCCCTGTAGAACTTACAGATCTCACTCAGGCTCACGTGCCCTTTTCTTGAATTACTTTTTGAAGGAAAACTGCATTTTACTGTGATCTTCTGGAATAACGCATAATAAACAGTTTCCATGATTTTTTAAATGATCCACTTTTAGAATTCCTTGTCCATTTTTAATGGTCATTTATTTACTTTTTATTTAATCTACTGCTTATATATCAGCAGGCTGCCAGCCCATTCCAAAACCGGAAAGCCATTTCCACAGGGACATGCAGAGACTGCTAAGACCTTTCCTTGCGCCCGTCACTGGGATGTGGCTAGTAATTCTCCCGGGCGACGGGCAGCAGCCTGAGCACAGGGAGGACCCGTCAGCTCTGCCCGTTTCCGCTGCAGAATCCGCGGCAGGTCTGTCACCAACCGGACGTCACCATCCACGTGGGGGACACCGATCTTTGGTGGGTTTGAGGGGTGGACTGGGAGCTCCTTTGAGGGGACAGTTAGTGGGAAGCAGGCGTGGCCAGGTACTCACCCACAGAGCAGCACACAGCGTCAGCACGAAGCACAGCTGGGGGAGGAGAGAGAACGCGGTGAGTGCGTCCTCGCAGACGCTGGACGGGAAGCACATCGCCGCCTTCCGTGGCGTGGATGCCGCCACAGAGCACGGCGGAGCCAGGGGCCCGCTCTGCAGTCCGCGGTGCTACTGACCCCAGAGGCGATGACCGCAATGCTCCCTGCACACGGAAGCACCCGGAGGAGCCTCTGCTGAGGGCGTCCACAGGGAGCGTCTGCAGAACGTTTAGTGACGGAGCTGTTCTCAGGGGCACTTGGTTATGCTGATGCTCAGGACCAGCACCGCCCGGTGTCAGCACAGCTGAGCGCACGGGAGGCCGGGAGGCCTTTCCCACAGAGAGGGCCCATCACTCCCACCCATGCCCAGGAGGCAGGGAGCCCACGGAGGGGCAGGTGGCAGCTCAGTGACAGGCAGGGCATCTGGAGATGGAGACCCAGGAGAGAGCCCAGCTCGGACGCCACTAGCAGAGTGTCCTTAGTTATCGGGTGTGGACCTCGGTCACCTTCTCTCTGAAAGGACAGCAGCCACCCACCTGCTCATCTGTAGTGAACAGATCAGAGTGTGTCCCTCACATGCTGGGGGGTGGGGACTTAGAAGGTGCTAAGTGTCAGCATTTCTTTCCCTTCGTCAGGCACCATCCTGTCAGCAGCAAACGAGGCCGTGCAAAGCGTCCGGCTGGGAATGCTCTGACGAGTCATCACCAGTTAGATCCGAGGAGTAACTCGCAGTCCCTGGGGAAAGGGGCTGTGTCTCTAACGTCTGAACAGCCCTCGACCCTGCCTGCCGGGCAGACACTGCCACTCGGGTCCCGGTGCCCCGGGCAGAATCAGCCCTGTGACAGCGTAGGCAACGTCTCCGGCTCCTAGACCGAGGTCACGGTCAGTGCACCTGCTGCTACAGGAGCTGCCACAGGAAAGTCAAAATGACGCAGCTGACCTCTCGGAGGTCAATGTGATACAATGCGATGAGTATGGTGACATGGAGTAAGGACACAAACAAAAAACTAGGCTACAAAGTTTTTCTCTAGTCAGGAGGAGGGAGGAGACACAGTTACCCTGAAAACATTCCCTAACTTACAAATCTACAAAGCTTGTGTTTAAAAAGCGAGTTAAGAGTTAAAAGGACAAAGTAGCTGTGCTAACATTTCAATTCAGGAGCTTTAAGGGGAGAGCTCGGAGGAGACGCAGGACAGCACGTGGGGCAGAGGCTCGGCAGAGAAGCCGCGGGTTCCCTCTGCCCATCCCACCCAAAGCGACGGCCCGCGAACACCCCCAGATGCATGACGATGAAAACTATACGTTTCTGACACAAACATCCAAAGACAAGAGAGCCCTGAATTAGTGGGACCGATGGCCGGGGACAGAGCCCACGGCTAGCGACACCTGCTGCTGGGAGTGTCAGCCAGCCGACGGAGGGACAGCGCCAGGGACAGGCCACTGAACCACTGCCAGCCCCCCTCCAAGAGCGCCCACAGCAGCCCACCAAGAACCGCTCGTGGCTGGACCACGACATGCAGCAGCTCTGACTCCCTTCCCTGGAGCTGCCACGTGAGGCTGATGGTGTGGGTGACACCGTGTCGCCCCACTGCCTGAGCCCGAGGACGCCACTATCACGTGCAACAAGAGAAACGTGACAACGGCCGACAGAAAGACGGGCCATTGGTGGGAAACAAAGCAACCAACCCCTCAACGGAAGCCTCTGTGCCTCCGCCTTTACTCACCAGCATGATGACGGTGGCGAGCAGCCTCGTGGTCTCGAACATCTTCTTCAGCTGCTTGAAGGGCCCCATCAGAAAGCACGTGCTGTGGGCGACAAACGGGGGCTGAGGGGCGCCGGGCGGTCCTGCCGTCCACGCGTCACCATCTCTAAGTCCGGCTCATCTTCCTTCACACCGAGGGGACCCGAGCCTCCAGGAGACACAAGTGCCCCTTCAGAGAACCAGGAGCCCCAGCGGCCTGAGCTGACGCCATCGCCACCACTTCCTGTCCATGCTGGTCCCATCGGACCAACGAGAAACAAGACCGGGGCGGCAGGGCCACGCCAGCTTCACCCAGCCCAGGCGGGGCGGGCGGCAGGTGCGAGCCGGGAGGCTGGCTGAGCTCGGACAATACCTCTGATCCAGAACGTTCCTGAGAAAGACGGTCCCCTCGGAAAGCGAAGTGCACAACTGCGGGCTCATAAATCTGACAGCTGCCCCAGCAGACACCAATACACCCCACGCGCCCAGGATGCTGCAAGGAGTCCCAAGGCCAGCCCCCCTCCCCCGCCTCCGCGCCCCTGCCCCAACTTACTTGCACGAACCCCTCCCCCGCCTCAG